CAACTTTGCATGAAACTTTGAGACATTAGATCATGAGTCTCACGTCTCCCTTCCCCGTTTTTTGACTTCCACTTTTGCTCTTTAAAAGCACCTTACATTTGTGGTTCGGCGCTTCAGCTCTGCTGACAGGGTTGGGGCCCCATTTTTGTACTTGCATTTGGGTGTCATGGCTCCTTGGAACTTTGGGGTCCCTCTCTTGGTGAGCACAACAGATAGATGCCCCAATGTTGCAGAAGAATCTTAGGTGACTGTTCAGGCAGCCAACTGTGTTTTGTCATTTCTCACATGTTTTAGAAGTCACTTGCTAGTTAGTTATAGTTTTCCTTGTTTATCAGATTCAGAAAGGAAACTCTCTAAAAAAATGTAAAGTGTAAAGGGTTGAGAGACATTAAAAGATAAGTTGATGATACAAATTAGAATAGAAAGTAAATTTGGTACAAGACTTTGGACTCACTAAGATAGGGTAGATAATGAAGTATTTTTTTCTGAATTTGTCAAATGCAAATGGATTAGAGATTGTGGATGTACTTGTTGGGAGCCACACAGCTTGGCATGAACCTTTAGGCCAAATTTGGCAAGCCACAGGGTTATAGAACTGTCTTTTGATTATAAATGGCTTCTAGAAGCATGAGCACCCAGAAGGAACAACATGATCCGGACTTCAATCCTTTGTTCCAACCACAAGCCCACTTACCTAGGCAACCCTCCCTCTCCCCACCACTTACCTAGGTAACCCTCCCTCTCCCCACCACCCATGAACTTTTTACCCTGCCAACATCTTCCTTCTATAGTTTTCTAACATCCTGCTTAAACTAACACCTGGCTCTTGGCCTCTTCTCCCCCTCCCCTTTACTCCATACTGCTGACTATATAAGCTAGCCTGGAAAAAATAAAATTTGCCACTTGATCAGAATCCTGTCTTGTGATCATTCTCTCGAGTCTCTTGTCCCCATTCCCCTCCCTGGACTTCTTGCTCTAGGTTGCAGGTTGGGACAACTACATGTCCTTATTGCCTGTATATTGTATAGACTTATTGTACTCATTGCATATAGTTTTTCTTATGTTAGTTGTAGCCTTCTTCTTTTTGCATTAGACAAAAAAGGGGAATTGTGGTGATGTATTTTTTATGATTTATCAAAGCCTGAGAATTCAGAAAGCAAAGTCAGCTTTATGATATAGAGATCAGGCAGTGGTGATACACACCTTTAATCCCAGGACTCAGGAAAGGTATTTAAGACAGGAACAGGGTCTCAGAGCTAGAATTCATTCTCCAGCCACACCAAGGATAGTGTGGCATTCTGAGATTAAGTCTTTTAGCTACGTTGAGAAGAGGCAGCGGTCTGAGGCTTGTTGAGAGCCTTCTTTGCCTCTGAGGATTTGTGGAGACAGGATTGCCATTTCATCTGGGAAGAGGTAAAATCTATTGGCTTGGCTGTTTTGTTTCTGTGACCTGAAGCTTGAAGCTTGAACCCCAATATCAGTCTCTAGGTCTCTTATTTACCATGCTACATGTGTCTACACAAGCTACTGACATGTTTTCCTAAACTAGTAGTAAACAGAAGCTAAAAATGTTGATTAAACTATTTCCATGTATTTCAACATCAAATGAGAGCATTCATTTTAAACATCAGTGATTTTTCTCTAATCTCTAAAGTGTATTTTTTATTTTAAAAGAGTATTTAATATATAATAATTTGGTCTCAAATATACTTGTTTACGATATGCCATGTAGAAGATATGACTCGGTTAGGCTCTTTAACAAAATAGGTATTCAAAATTCAAATGTCACTTCTTCACTTATAACATCATCCATCCATCCATCCATCCATCCATCCATCCATCCATCCATCCATTACTTACACCTTCTGCTGCAGACAGCACCTGCATAGCACACACTATGCCCTGGGTTCAGTTTCCAAGAGTAAAATAAGTCAAAATGAATACCTGTTGCTTACCCAGCAGTATGCTAGATCTACAGATACACAAGTTTGCAAACAACAGAGTAAGGCTCTGTGCTTAATTGGTTGAAAATTTATTCCAGAGTAGTGAAGGTAAAGATAAATGCATGCCTACGATCTTTTAGAACTTTAGGATATACGACTGTCTATAGTTCTTTGGCGCATACTGTTAAGTCTTTTTAATCTTTCTCAGTTGTTACTGTACTTCACCAAGCAGAAGCATTAACATACACCGAGACCTTGCAAACCTGTCTCAGTCTCTCCCAAGACTTTTGCATATGCGTGTCTTCCAACAGATCTCCTCACTTGCACAGCCAACAAACATCATTCATCATCTAAAACCATCATCATGTGAGGATTTCTCAGAGCATCAGGAGAGCTTCTGCTTCCAAAGTTCACACCTTCTCCCTCTGTACCATTTCATTATTTATTTTTATTGTCATTGATATAAACATCCACCAACATATCACTCATTGTTCCTGTTTATATTGCAAATTTTGTGGGGATAGAAACATTTGTCTTTCTACTTTAGCAGAATGTTTGGAATACACAGATCTTCAGTAAATATTTGATGAACTAGAGAGCAATTCTTTCTATCATAACTTGTTCAGTTTTGTAGAAATGTATGTTTAAATGATCCTTTAATTAGATGTGAATATATATTTGAGTATTTAAAAGGCATTGTATTTTATTTAATTAAATTCTAATACAAAAAATTACCATCCCTCTCAAGGTCCAATAAAATTATGCAGCATGCTCTTTTCTAAATTTTTGTTATTTATTTCCCCACTCTGCTGATATTGTTCCAACATTAGTGGTATTGAAGCCTCACCACACTGTGTTCGAGTAGCTTGTCGTTGTGTCTGCAGCCCCTTCTACATGTAAGCTACCTGGAAATGAGGTCCTGTTATTGTTATTCCCATCTTGGTAACCCTGTTGCATTGCAATGACCAGAGGGAGAGGCTGGAGAGGGATCTCTTCAATGCATGAAGAGCAGACTAATTAGGAAACACAGGTAGACTTAGGTCTCTGGTTCTTTCCTCTCTGTTAGGAGCTGAGTTTTGGTTGCCTTAAATGAACAAAATGTGCAAAATTCTAAGCAAAGCTTTAACTTTGCAGTTGAATGAGAGAATCAAGGAGGAGAAGCAAAAGACTTGCTGTCCGAATGTTTGTGTTTGTTTTCTGCTTTCCAGAGGAAGTCTTTCTAATTTTGAAACATGAATTTTGGGATAGATCATAGAAAAGTAATTAGGTCCTTTATCTTGGGAAAAAATGGATCTATCAAATATTTTGCAGAAGTTCAAGAGCCCCAGGGATCTTTCTCTGTTAAAACAATATGAATCCCATAACTTGGTTTTGTCCTAACTGCAGAATGTAAGAGCATTTTTAACTGAGTTATAGTGTTTATGGTGTTTAGAGGGCAGCATGGAAGTGGGGATGCCTTATAAACCTCTCTAGATAAGCTGTGCAGCTGGACATTAACTCTTGTAGAAAATTACATCCACATATGTTTTAAAAAACAATTGTGTTTTCAAAATGTGATGAGTTTTGAAGCTCAAAAGGTTTTTTTTTTTTTTTTTTTTTTTTAAATACACACACACAGGGTATTTCATCACATCACCCTTCTCTGCCAACTCCTCCCAGATACACCCCACTTACCTTTCCACCCTTAAAAAGAAAGCCAAAAGCCATCAAATCCAATGTGGGCTGTCTATGTTCTCTTGGGTGTATGGCCATATATCCAAGTGTGGTTGCCTATATGCAGTGTGCTTGACCTACTAGGGCCCACACTCAAGTCTTGATGTTTTAAAATTGGTGTGAAGGTATGACATCTTTAAGGAGACCCAGTATGTATCACACACATTATTCCCTGCTAGTGAGTGGTGCTGAAATACACATTCACATAGGAGTCTTGAGAAGTGACAGGTATAAAGGAGTTAACAAATAATTACAAAGCTTCGGGAACTTTAAAAATAAGCAATTTCAAATGAAGACCTTGATTTTTGTTTTCTCTCCACATACAAATACTTTTTGGACTCATGGAAACCATTGGTTCATAAATTTTTAATCACAGCAGTGGTACCACTATGTCCAACATAATTCTCTAACTTGTGGGTCTCAAACAGGATTCATTCAGAAAGTCGAGACCATTAATTGAATCAGTGTGAAAAAAATGCAAAAATGGTGACAGACTACATTTCTTTGCAGGTATAATTACAGTACTTTCAATACGGTCTAAAGGGATTTAAAAATAACACTGCAAAAATTTTGAATCAGTATTTTATAAACAGATGATCAAATTTAATTAATTTTTTTCCCACATAAAGAAGTTACTATTTGTAAATTCTAGAGCTCCTTAGAAGTCATGGGCCAGGTAAGAGACTCACAAATCAGAATGTGAACTCAGATCCACTCCATTACTTTGTCCTACTCTGGGGACTATCTATATTTTTTTCTTTTTTCTGTCCTTAACAATCTGGTTCTCTATTTCCATGTGAAATCAATTTCAGTTGTAATTTAGATAGACATCTAAGTAATTACATATGAAAATTAACTGATAATGACTAGGAAAAATACATTAAAGCATTGTATAGGTACATATAAAAAGTAATGTCATTTTTAAATTTTTCTCTATGAGATGTGAACGCACACTTAAACATCTAAACTGAACAATTTAGCATGTGAATATTGAAGGATTAATACAGGCTTTAAAATATCAGTGGCTGAATATGTCAGCAAAATGTGAGATGTTGATTTTATCCCTAAGAAGGAGTGTGCAGTAACTTGGAAGAGGGCCGTTTCAAGAATCTGTTGGACCAGTGAACAGAGCTGGCAGAAATGACATGTGAGACGGAAATCAATCCTCCAAGCTCTTTATAAGTGATTTCAGCTCAAAAATCTAAAGTAGGGAACACATGACTTGCTATTTTTCCAAACCAAAGCGACCTTTGACTTTCGGATTAAAACCACAAAGGAATCATCACATTTTGTTTACAGAAAAGAGTCGTCACAGGGCCGATTCCCAGGTTCCGGGGAGCTTACCTGTCTCCATTTTGCCATCCTGTGCTGCGGGCCCATCTGGGATCACACTTTTCACCTGTAGAAACTCGTCTGGCTCATCGCCACCAATGATGGTGAATCCAAAGCCCATGTTGCTCTTCTTGAGGGTGGTGCTGAGGAATGTTCCCTTCAACTGGGATGCATCCCGGGTGAAGAGCGGCTTTTCTGCATTGGCCGAATCAAGGTAAAAGAAAAGGCATCATGAAGGCAAGTTATAAGAGAACAGCCAACCACTGAGCAGCAATCCCCGGGAATGTGGGAGACTGACATGGTAGATGCAAGCATGTGGCCACTCGGAGGGGAAGGAGCCAGACAATTAGAGCATCCTACAAATACAGAGGCATCCCAAGCATCCAGGGAGTAGTGAAAGGCTTTGTGGTTGGACAGCAACTTATCAGTATGTGTTCTCTTGAAATCAGCCCTCCTGAGGTTCAAATGGGCTGTGTCAACTGACAAGAAAGCCTTCAAATAACATCTGACTTATAACTCTCTAGTTATGAGAGCTTCCAGGGTGGAGGGGGTGTGTGAGTAGCTGCTCCTGCACAGAACCTTGATTGCATGAGGTAGAAAATCAAACAGAGTGCAAATCACCCCAACAGAGAAGCAGTACACCTTGGGTGTGTACTTAAAGGTGGAAGCTGCTTAGAGTGTGTGCCTGGATGTGGGACTGAGTTCATTTTTGTTTACGCCTCTATGCTGTGAGGCGTTATAAATTCAATCAGATACATCTCTACTGGCCAGAGAGTGTTTAGTACACTCTAAAATGTGAGCAAACAGCAAGCCAACGTTTCCAAATATAGTTATGAATGTAAAGGTGTCACATTTTGTGATATGTTGACATATTCAAATCAAATGCCCAAATAATCTGAATAGCACCCAAAACCACTCAATGAGTTTGGCCACTTGTTTGTTATATGATGGAGTTTTTTCAACTATGAGTTCTAAGAAATATGGTTCCAAGCACATTTAATGCTTTAAAATTATAGTCATGCTAGGAAGAAGAATTAATTATCTCTTAAATTTCACCTGTGAGAAGTATTTTACTTTGTCTGGCTAGCTTAGTTCGTAGAGCATGAGGCTTTGAGTATTTTATTCTAATTACTTTGGTGAGATGGGTCTTGCTCTGTTATCCAGGGGGACTGGGACTCTTGGTCCCCCTGCCTTAGTCTCCCATGTGCTAGAATTCAGATAAGCATCTCATATCCCTTTTGAAGGTGGTATGATCAGATACTCACATGAGCCAAACTGTAAGTGGGAAACTCAGCTACATATGTTGCATGATGCTCTTATTGTTACATTTTCATTTTCATAGGATGAACTACTAAACAACAAGTCATTATGATGGAGTTTTAATTATCTGTAGATTTACCTGCCACATATTATCTTTGTTAAAATTTTCTTTAAAATGTAATTTATGGAACCTCACATACAATCTTCTTTGCTCTGTCCACCAAAGCAGTGCTTATAGGTACACCTCAGAAACCTTGACAGTCATTGCAGAGTGCAGCAGGCATGTGATGTGACCCTCACTAGAGGCAATGTCGGCACTGGACACCAAAGCCCCTCTTGTGCTTTTTGGTTTTTGTTTTTATGTAGTAGGAGGACAAAACAGGTGAAAAGTGTGCAGCCACTCATCCCGCTAGGTGGCTCCCAGTATAGTCAGGTCCACAAGCAACCCTGGGATATACCGAGTTGCCAGATTGTCCCTCTGTGGCCTGGCAGAGAGGAAGACAAGTCATTCACACTTTGGGACCTTCTGGACCAATCTGGAAGATGGATTTGGGCCTAGGTAATGTCACTGATGAGCAGCCTACTGTCACAAAGGAAAACAAGCTTCATTCCTATGTTTCATTTTTCAGAGACTCTGCAGTTTATTGTCCCACTCTTAATGTCCCACCTTGCAACAAATAAAATTCCTATAAGGTACCGCCCAGTGGCCTAAGCATAGTTGTGGAAGCTGAATGCATTAGTTTAAAAATAATGTAAACACCCAGATAAAGCTACTGGAAGGGTCTAGAGAAGTCAAGCCAGGTATTTTTACCAGGCCCTCCTACAGATGCGTCTGTATGGAAGAGCAAACAGTCCATCCAGCAACGTTCCCTTTCATCCCCGCATGCTGCCAGATACCGTACCTCGGAAACCTGGGGCCTGTAGGGGCTTTGTTCCAAGTTCTGTGTGGGGCATGTTATGCTGTTGTAGCTTCCTTTTTGCTTCCAGGACAGGGTTTTCAAACTGTGTTCTTCTATTTATGTGGCTGAAAAAAGAAGGCTTTAAATTAGGGTAACGGTGGGACAAAGTCATTTAGGAGAACATATGCATGGCCCTATGGAGAGCAGGTGATTAAGGGACACCTTATCTGATTACAGGCAAATGTCTTACCCAGCACGCATCAGGCGTCCAAGGGCCTGTGCACAATACACAATTATGTGACAGTTCAGAGCATCCAATGACTCTTATCAAATGCTGTTATATTTACCATATGCATGAGCTAGCCAAAGGAACCAGACGGCATGTGCTTTCTGGCCCACTGAGTTCACGTGAGGAGTTTGATGCATTAAAAGAAATGGCCAACAAATGACACAAACAGAATATCTCCAAACAAGTGTGTCATCTAGGCTTTATAAAATCTCAATAGCAACAGGATTAGTGAGAGGTAAATTCACTGACAATACAGCAGAAACTAAGAGTAAGAATAATTCATGCATTTAGTGTGTGTGTATCTCTGTGTGTGTGCATTCATATGTGCATGTGTGTGTACATGTATGTATTTGTGTGTATTAGTGTATGCATTAGTGTGTGTGTGAATTAGTGTGTGTGCATGTATGTGTGTATATGTATATGTATCGGTGTGTGTGCATTTGTGTGTGTGCGTGTGTATGTGTGTGCATGTGTGTGCATGTGTGTATGTGTGTGCATTCGTGTGTGCACTGTGTATGTGTATATGTGTGCATTTGTGCATCTGTGTGTGCATTTGTGTGCACACGTGTATGTACATGTGTGCATGTTTATGTATCTCTGTGTGTGCAGTCATATGTGCATGTTTGTGTATGTGCGTGCATGTGTGTTTACATGTGTGCATGAGTGTGTGTATGTGTGTGTAGAAGATGAGTGCACCTGTGCGAGCACAAGAACAACTTTCAGGTGTGGGGGTTGGTTCTCCCCTCCCATTACACAGGTTCTGGGCATCACTGCCAGGTTATGAGGTTTGCGGGTTAGTGTCTTTTCCTACTGAGCCATCTCACTGACCCACAACACACACCGTTAGCAGGTAGACCTGGATTGAAAGGCCAGGATTCAGGAGGACACTTCTCAGAAGTGACAGAATGCCTGAGTAGGATGTTCACTGCTGAAATCCTCTGCACCCTGAGATGGCAAACTAGTGACAGGAGGCAACTGTAGCCCAGCTAAGCCAGGACTCCGGCACCAGAAGATATGCATTCCTATATAACAGGTTGTTTGTGGCTTAGAGAGCTGGCAGCAGTGGTGGCCATGGCACTCCATCTGCAGGACATATGGCACTCCATCAGCAGGACATGGACGCCCTGGGAGAGTGATGGTCTCAATTCTTAAGTGCTCTGAAAGCATGGAGGTGAGAAGGATTAGAAGAGGGCCTGACAGCTAGCTGCATGCGGTTTCCATAGATAATGACACAAGTACACCAACAGGCCAAGTGGCTTATTCCAGATAGACCACCTGCCCAGTGCAGTGAAATTCTAGAATCCAATCATCATGTCTGTTTCTGCAGTGGGTCTCTCATCTACATGCTTTCTCTTTCAAATATGGGATTTCAGTTGGCATGTACATATAGTTAACATGTCTGTACATGCACGCTGTCTCTCTCCCCATCTACCGTGTTTCCTAAAGCTGCACAGTGGAAGAGAGAGGAGATAAAATACAAGCTCCCACTTTTCTATCACCAGTCAGATAGCTGGCAAGAATGATGACTGCATTGCCTCTAGCGATCTCTTGTGGGAAACATGGCGGACGCTCTCTGCCACACATCCTCAGCATCAATCAGACCTGCATTCAAACTCTAGCTCCCCAGTAGCTGAGCAATCTTTAGTAACTTGTTAAACCTGAGTCTGGCTAAACTGTTCTTTAAAATGGGCACAATATTGTCTGCTTGAGTAGCTGGAGGGGTTAAATATGGTAGCCTGTGTTAGCAGTCATCTTTTAGCATTGACATGTTTAATTACCAGCAGCTGTTATTATCTCTCAGCTGGAATCACCTTAACCACCCCTGTCAATATTTTAATCACCTCCATCACTGCCAGCATAAATGTCCTTGCGGGGGACCTTAAAAGCACTGGAGTCTTGCTCCTGTGGCCCCATTCTATTTAAAGGAAAAGGCGTGGCTCTGATAATGGTTTTTCTTAGTGATTCTTACTCTCTGCTCTATGGGGTTCAAAACAACTGTTGGGAAAAATTCTTCTCCATCGGAAGTAATGCTCTGAGCATGAAGGAGCCACGGCATGGCAGCTTTTCAAGCCTTTTTACTCTGTAAACACAGATGGAGCCACTGTGCATTAGGAAGGCTGGAGTTGGAGGTTCTCCTTTCCATTCTCCCGTAACTTTTTTAGCAAAATCCTTCAAGTTTTTCTTACATGATATTGTAACTTTATCTTTGGCTCTTTTACCATGAGTGCTTTTGCTTTTGACATACTTGGGGCAAGTCTAATAGGCAATACCTCTTTCAAAGCCAGTTTTTCAAGTGACATTCAATACATCCATAGTGGGATGCTTGATCAAACCATCCATCAGGGGACAACTTCTTAACTTTCTTTAATCATATGTATCTATCCTGCTGATTGAACCTTAAATGCCCTGAAGGTTTGTGTATCAGAAGCTTGGATGGACCTAAGCTCGGTGCTATTAGGGAGTGGTGGAAACCTGTAAGAGGGAATGAGAGGTCCTAGATCATTGGGGAATGCCCTCCAAGGAAGTGTGGAACATTGGCTTCCCTCTCTTAGTTCCTGGCCATAGGGAGAACTGGCTTCCTCTGCCTTTCTCATGATATACCTTGTCATCACAGGCTTGACACAATAGGGACAGTTGGTCACAGAAGGCAATTCTGAAACTCGGGAAAAATAAACCTTCCTCTTATAAGGCTTAAAAATATTGTTATAGAATGGCAAGCTGATTCAACACTACCATTACTAGCCAATGGGGACCTTAACATCTACTCCATGGGGCTGCTGGGAAGATAAGAGAGGTGTTGGCCAAGAGCAGACTGTTGGGAAGAACAACTGTGAAGTGCTGACTTGTGTTTTTGGAATAGTTGTTATTTATGACAGTTAATATTAACAATGATATTGTTGATGACATTATAATGTTATTTCTATGTCCCCAGCCTTGTCCAAAGCCTGTCACAGAGGCATTTCTTGCCAGCATTATGCCTCTTCCTAGGGACATTTAATTAAGTTCAAACAGATCCTTTTATTACACTCAGTGAGAAGATCTGAGGCATTTCTAAAGAACAATAATAAAACAAAATTGGAATAAAATTATTTGAATCTAGGTGTGAGAAAAAACTGACAACACAGGGTCCTATTTGTTTACTAGAGTTACATTATAAATTAGCTTTGAGCTTTCCACTACTTACAAATAAGAGAGGAAACAGCTACTCCCTTTAGAATGTTTAAGATAAGCTCAGGTTCAGAAGGATGTGGATTATATCCTTAAGATGCCCTGTCATTAAGTTTTCTAGGCATTTCTCTCTTCATCTTCAGTAAAGAGGTCCTGTGAAGCAGCCTTATGGAACCCTTAATGATAATTTTCCAACAGTGAATTTCACAGTTTTATCAACCTTCTCATGATATTTTAATGATGGGTTATGCTGCTGTTCTTTCCTACATTTTGAACTCTTATATAAGGGTCTATGTGATATTTATCATTGTGTACTATACATATAACAAGTCGAAAGGCATTTAACTATTTGTTGTAGAATAATTGTTAAATATGTGTTACTTTCTTTTATGCTGTGGAATATTTATTCAATGATATAAATATGTGTTTCATTCTTTTATGTTGCATTTGTTTAACTCTGTAAAGCTGTGTTACTTTGCCTGTCTAAAACATCTAATTGGTCTAATAAAGAGATGAATGACCAATAGTTAATCAGGAGAGAGAAATAGGTGGAATGAGAAAAGGAGAAGGAGAGGATGCTAGGGGCCAGCCACAGCCACAAAACAGCCACAGAGTAAGAAAGAAAGAAAGAAAGAAAGAAAGAAAGAAAGAAAGAAAGAAAGAAAGAAAGACAGTATAAAGAAAGGTAAAAAGCCCAGAGGTGAGTGTAGTTAAAGAGAAATGGGATAATTTAAGTTAGGAAAGCTGGCTAGAAACAAGCCAATCTAAGACCAGTCATTCATAAGCAAGACTAAGTCTCTGTGTATTTATTTGGGGACAGCTGATGGCAGGTCCCCAAAAGAGTAAAACAAACAAACAAACAAACAAACCAAACTAAAATATAACAAAAAAGCAATGACAATTTGTTAAACAACAATGTGATTAGGATATTATCTGTTTTCTAATATATGCCACAGACTCAAGCCCTACAGAAAGTGCTGGAAGGAAAACTCCAGCCCAAGGAACCTAGCTACACTCACAAAAATATAGGCAAAAAATAATCCCACATTACCAAAGGGCAAAAAAATGGGGGGTAAACACACACACACACACACACACACACACACACACACACACACACACACACTACTGCCACCACCAACAAATCCAAAAACTAACAAGAATCAACAATCAATTGTCATTAATATCACTGAAAGTCAATGGTCTTAATTTGCCTATAAAAGGACACAGGCTAACAGAATTGATACAAAGATAGAATCCATTCTTCTGCTGCATACAAGAAATGCACCTCAATTTCAAAGACATACGTTACCTCAGAGTTAAGGGCTGGGAAAAGATTTTCCAATCAAATGGACCTAAGAAACAAGCTGGTGTAGGTATCATAATATCTAACAAACTAGACTTCAAACAAAAATTAATTAAAAGAGATGAAGACGGTTATTTTATATTAGTCACAGGAAAAATCCATCAAGTTTTAATTTTGAACAACTATGTCCCAAATTCAAAGGCACCCACATTCATAAAAGAAACATTACTAAGATTCAAATCACACATAAAACCCCATACAATTATAGTGGGAGACTTCAGCACCCCACTCTCACCACTGAACAGGACTACCAGACAGAAACTTAACAAAGAAATAAAGGAACTCACAGAAGTTATGACTCA